GGGAATGTGAGGGGACTCGGGGATGTGCGGGGACACGGGAATGTGATGGGACACGGGGGTGTGAGGGGACACAGGGGTGTGAGGGGACATGGAGTGTGAGGGGACACGAAGTGTGAGGGGACACGAGAGTGTGGGGGGACACGGGGGGTGAGAGAACACAGGGATGTAAGAGGACACTGGAATGTGAGGGACATGGGGGTATGAGAGAGGACATGGGGGTATGAGAGTGGTTTGAGGGGACATAGGTTGTGAGGGAACACAGGGATGTGAGGGGACACGGGAGTGTGAGGGGACACGGGAGTGTGAGGGGACATGGGGATTTGAGGGGACACGAAGTGTGAGGGGACATGGGGTTTGAGGGGACATTGGAATGTGAGAGGACATAGCGTGTGAGGGAACATGGGGTGTGAGGGGGACATGGAGTATGAGGGGACATGGTGAGGGGGACATGGTATGAGAGGAGTGTGAGGGCAGTGAACTCCGAAAGGATAGGCTGTCAATAAAACCCCATAGACCCATGTCTACAGAGCAGATATTTGTTTATTGCTGCGCTGGAGTTGAGTGGGATCTCTCCACCTAATTCACCCACCTTTGTGAGTCAAATGTCATGTCAAATGTGGGTCAAATGTCATGTCTTATTTATACAATAAATATTGCTTAATATTGTTATGTCAGCATGACATCATCATATACGTGTCTGGGATGAATTTACATAAGGTTTTCTCATGGTTATAAATAGCTTTTCTGTACTGCACTTGTGCCTCCCCAATTTAGGTGGTCCTGGAGGTCTTCAATGAAGGCTCAAGGTCTTCCTTGCATGGGAACTTTTCAACTTTTCCTTTGGAGTGTGTGCAGTTAYGGTATTCCTTGGGCTTTCTGGATCCAACTGGTCTAAATTCTTCAACTGGTGGCTAATTAGCTTTACATTTGCCAAATTCTCATTAGTACATTTTGCTGTTTCCCAATTAGCTATACTTAYCTATTTTYGAGATTATCCACCTGGCAAATTTTTGCTTACTTCAGCAGTAAGCAGCTAGTTAACCGTATTTGGCTATTCCATTATATAGAAAGTTATGATTGAGGTTATATAAGTATTAAAGGCTATCATTCAGGTTATGTAAATATTAAAATGTTCTAATTCAGGTTACATAGGTATTTCATCAAGCTGTATAAGCATCTTGTAACTTTGAGCCAAGTTATATAGTCATTAGGTGTGAGGGGATATGGAGGAGCTGAGGGTGTTGGTGAAATTTAGTGACTAAACACAAACGAGTCAGGTTTAGAAAGGAGATATTTATTCTGTTCAAGGTGAAAATTCTCCACAATTCAAGCATGCCAGGGAATAAAGTGCAAAATAATTTATCCACATAAACCCACCCATGTAATCCCCAGTTCCCGCCTACCTAATACACAGTCATTGCCAAACACGACATAAAATACAAAGTTTTCCACAAGCATTAAGAAAGCGAAACACACCTGGTGACATCTGYTGGCACYGAAGTGGAGAATGGTGCCATCAGCWACAGGGAGCAAAGGAAGGGACAGAGAATTCTGCATAAGGACATCGAGGGGACAGTGGGTGTGAGGGATTTGG